CGTGTGTGCGTGTCTCAAACGTTTCTTTGCCGTGTGTGCGTGTCTCAAACGTTTCTTTGCCGTGTGTGTGTCTCAAACGTTTCTTCGCCGTTTGTGCTCCTGCAACTTTTTTTGCTGTGGGTACACCTCAAGTGTTTCTATTCGCTTATAAACGTTTCTGCAAACGGGTTTTTCTACGGCGTTAATATGGTTACAAAATTTATTAGAGTCATAACGTCTACAAAGTAACATTTTTACAACCCATTTATCATAGAATAAATGCTCGCATAAGCAATAAATGAATCATGTTTCAAGCTTTATAAGGGCGATAAGCTCCCAAACGTTGCTCTTAATATCCTGTGTCTCACTGCCGTTTACAAAGACCAATCGTTCCATGTGTCCAAACGCAAAAAATTAATATATCTACGTTGTTAAATCGATTGTGTAGATAGAGCAATGAAATAACTCATTTCGAAACGTCATGAATGGGACTGTTCATTGCTTAATTTTTTACATTATTTATTGTTATGCGGTATAGACGGCAAACTCTGCTGACGGGGTGAGGGGCGGAGGCCTTAAAGGGATGGTGATGGTGTGGTGACGTGACGATGGTGCATGACATTAATTGTGATGAAGAGTAGTGCGATGATGGTGGAGGTAGGGTGAGGTGGCGGTGGTGAGGTAGGGATGTGATTGTTGTAGTGCTGTGGTAGGGGTGTGTTGGTGCTAGTGGTATGCCGAGGGACGATGGTGTGGTATGGGTGTAGTTGTGGTATGGGTATGGTTGTGGTATGGGTGTAGTTGTGGTATGGGTGTAGTTGTGGTATGGGTGTAGTTGTGGTATGGGTGTAGTTGTGGTATGGGTGTAGTTGTGGTATGGGTGTGGTTGTGATGGTGGTATAGTAGTGATGGGGCTGTGTGGTGATGGTAAGGTGGTGTAGTAGTGATGGGGCTGTGTGGTGAGGGTAAGGTATTGGTGTGGTAGTGATGGGGCTGTGTGGTGATGGTAGATGTGAGGGGATGAAGGTAAGTTACCTGCGGTCGGCCTCGCTATTATTAGGCTAACGTCTGGTCCCGGGGAGCTGTTCTTGTTACGTCGCCCGGGCTGCTGTTATTGCAGGCAGTGCTGCTGATGTTGTTCTTCCTGCCGTTGCTGCAGGTGTTATTGCTGGCAGTGCTGCTGATGTTGTTCTTCCTGCCGTTGCTGCAGGTGTTAAACAAATTACTTTATATTTATATACCCTGTATTATCATTGATTAATTAACCGGAATTTCAATAATTTTCGGTGAGAAATTTAGAATTTCTCACAATTGCTGGCAGTGCTGCTGATGTTGTTCTTCCTGCCGTTTCTGCAGGTGTTATTGCTGGCAGTGATGGTGATGTTGTTCTTCCTGCCGTTGCTGCAGGTGTTATTGCTGTTACAAATGTTTGTTGTTAGCGTTTTTGTACCTAGGAATGCTACTGTATTGTGAATTGCTGTATGATGGTTTGTAGCTGTATAGCTGAACCACAGTTGATGCCACACAGTTGATGCCACAAAGTTGATGCCACACAGTTGATGCCACCCAGTTGATGCAACACGGTTGATGCCACACAGTTGATGCCACACAGTTGATGCCACACAGTTGATGCCACACAGTTGATGCCATACAGTTGATGCCACACAGTTGATGCCACACAGTTGATGCCACACTGTTGAGGCCACACTGTTGATGCCACACAGTTGATGCCACCCAGTTGATGCAACACGGTTGATGCCACACAGTTGATGCCATACAGTTGATGCCACACAGTTGATGCCACACAGTTGATGCCACACAGTTGATGCCACACAGTTGGTGCCACACAGTTGATGCCATACAGTTGATGCCACACAGTTGATGCCACACAGTTGGTGCCACACAGTTGATGCCACACAGTTGATGCCACACAGTTGATGCCACATTGTTGATGCCACACAGTGGTTCAGCCACTGCCCTCAATGGCCGCCAGCCAAAACAACTGCAGCTGCGTGCGAATTTCCTGACGTTTGTTGGTAATATTTCTTTCTTCCTTCATGTTTTTTTCCCTCTTCATTCATTTCCCTCATTCCATTTCTATATTTATATTCATTGCATTTAATATTATCCTCATTTTCTTAAAATTTGTATTTTAAGAATTTTCATATTCTGTATTTAATATTTTCTCTCATCTTTACCACCTCAGAAGCACCGTATAGGAAGATAACATCACCTTCACATTTTTCTCGGTGAATTCATTAATTTTCCGCTTCATTTACTTCATATTCTTCATTTCTTCTCTCTTCCTGTCTCATGTTTTTTCTTAAATTTACGGACTTTACTTTAACGTTCGTCGTTGAGATGAATCTTCGCGCACATAATTAAAGCATGCAAGTTATTGCCTCGAGTATACTAGCTGAATTTAGATTTATTGTTTTGTACAGTGTCTGCTTGTTAAAGTAACACCCAATTAAGGCTTTCTTTTAGTATTGAATGAGTAACGTTACTTAAGCTGTAAGTTAGAAATTACGTACTTCATTCAAATTTAAAACTCCTTTGATTTTTTGACTGGCTATTGAATATTTAGACTAAATAACCAGTTAATTGCATACTAATAAACTACGCTGAATATTGATTCGGCCGCGTATGAAAGGTATCGAGTTACGAAGCTGTGATTTCTTCTAATTTATTGACGAACGCTTGCTTGACTTGGCGAAGACAGCAGACAAGTTTAATAACCTGGCGAACTTCCAACGTTTGGCAGCGGCGGTCTATACGCAAATATATTGCCTGAATCTGTCAGGCAATTGATTCGAGTCGTCATTATTTGATATTTTAACGTCAGTCTCGTCTGTCTCGCGGCATTCGCGCTTAGTCGTCATTATTTAATATTTGAAGTTTAAACGTCAGTCTCGTCTGTCTCGATCGAGGCATTCGCGCTTAGTCGTCATTATTTAATATTTTAACGTCAGTCTACCTGGAATAACAGGTTTTGCCATTACGAACTCCACCCGTCATCAAATTGCGTTTACGATTTCGTGTGGAAATATACTCACCTGCCCTTGCGCTGTCATCTTATTTGGTGATTTAGTGCCCCTCAGGGGGGACTTCTGACGCGTATCTGTGCTCGTCAGAAGTCCTATGGGATTTCGCGCTCCTATAGGGGGATTGTTCCTGAGCGTCCCACCGCTGAGCTCGCGGTGTCTGACTGCTGTCTGACTGCAGGTCTCAGTTGTGGGGTTAAGTTATCATATAGGTAGGATTCCTTACATTAAGTCATTTTGTAGATGTATGTATTATTATTCCTTGCATTTCCCTTCTCTGTCTCTCTCGTGCGGGTGGCCGACGTCCCGTGTAAGCGACCTCTTGTTCGAGTGTCTTAGTTTCTGTTGCTTTTCACCTGTCCCTCCTTGTCACCTGTCCCTCCTTGTCACTTTGTCTCTTTGAGATGCTAACGCTGCTTCCTTCGAGCCAGCTTCGGCGGGCTGGACAATTTAGACCTTCCGCCCCTTGTGGGTGATGAACAATTTGAGACTCTGAATAAATAAGACCTTCCGCCTCGTTGGCGATGTTATATTTTGATCTCAGGTGCGAAATATCTTGATAGCTGAAGCGCTAGTAAATCATTCTACTACTACTACTACTACTGGCCATTTGCTGCAGTAAATCAACGAATATAGGAGTGTATTGCCTTGTATATTGCATATTTTTAACCCGGCGTTCGTCGAGTTGTCGTTGCTCTTTCTGTCAGCTTAATGAGCGCTTTTCCCACTTACTCCTAACACTGAGGGCGGGTTGAGATATTTCTAGAAGAGACACTTCGGTAATGCGCTGGGTGATTAGGTCACTCCCCTCAGTGTGGTGGTCACGGCTCCCCTTAGTGTGGTGGTCGCCACTCCCATCAGTGTGGTGGTCGGGACCGAGAGGAGTGCCCCCCCTCTGAGCCGGTAGGGAGGGCACGGAACTAAAGTGGGTTTCTCGGTTTGAGAGGGGACGTATGGGCCCAGTTAAGTCGTAATTGAGTGTGACGCTAAGCTCTCTTCAAGTGCATTGCTTCTGAGCTCGGCTCTTGAAGAATGAGCGGAGCTCTTGAGCTGGGCTCTTGATATGGAGGCAGACGTAGGTAGGTGTGAGGCCCAGCCCTCACCATCATCTGCTGCATCACACACAGTATTTTTTATCGTTTAATTAAAAGCGCTGTGTCTACATTGTGTCTCTTTTATATTATAAACTTCCTCTTCTTTATAATTCTATTATTGTGCACTTGGCTACGGCTACGTTCAGCAGATACTTTCCACCGTAATGCACGAATGACGTGACAACTGCAAGTGTGTATGAATGGCATGAAATCGCGGCACGTGTGTGTGCACAGTGCTATGCTTCTCTGATGTTGCTTTTATCTGTAACACCAAACAAAATAAAAATTTTTGTATTCTCATTGATGCGTCTGAGGAATCAATTTATTATGTAAGTGATGTCATAGAAGCCATTCCTTCGCTTCGCTTGTAATCTTTTATCATCGGACTCTACTTTACCCGAACTATCAACTGTGTTATCAATGTTTGATTTTGCCTTTCTCATGAAATTCGCATTCATCTCGAACATTGAAACTTGCGCAAGCTATTTACAAAAAATAAAGAAAAAAATCAATAGCGATTTGGACCCAAAGCGGTCGTCTACTTTGCATGAAAACATGTCTATCCCGCCACTATCACGTCACCAGTGACTACAACATGTCTGTCCCGTCACTATCACGTCACCAGTGACTACAACATGTCTGTCCCGCCACTATCAAGTCACCAGTGACTACAACATGTCTGTCCCGTCACTATCACGTCACCAGTGACTACAACATGTCTGTCCCGTCACTATCACGTCACCAGTGACTACAACATGTCTGTCCCGTCACTATCACGTCACCAGTGGCGTGACACTACCAATAACACCCCAATAACAAGACCTCTCCTCACCCCCAGGCATGCATAGACAACACCAATAACACCACCTCCCCTCACCCGCAGGCATGCATAGACAACAACCTGAGCATCGTCGAGTTCTTAGTGGACGCGGGGGCAGACATCAACAGGAGCGACATGGAGGGCTGGACGCCCCTGCACGCTACCGCCTCTTGTGGCTCCCTCACCATGGCTAAGTAAGGCTCATTCACTGATATATTATAAGTATATATCGTTCTTGTTCATGTAAAAACAGTTTAGTGTATGGAGCTAATTTATGAAAAACAGTAACATCACTACGATAATGTAGCTGTGAATTATACCACTGCTTCCTGTTGTTCTTTCGCCATGGTTAAGTAAGGCTCATTCACTGATAGATATCGTTCTTGCTGATGTAATTACAGGTTAATTTATGGAGCTAATTTATGAAGAACGGCCGCAGGAGTTATGCATCACTGTCCAGTAATAATGTATCACTGTTTATTACCACACAGTTTCCATCGGTTCTCTCTCATTGAATAAGTATACGGCATGTTAATAGCTTATATTAGTCAATCGTTCTGATGCTATAACTGAGTAATTTGTGAAGCTAAGCTGCAGGAGTTAGGCATCACTCTATTGATGTAGCTGTGTTTATTATCATAAAGCGTCATGCTTATGTTCCTCATAGACCGATGGTCTGACCTCTCACTACTGTACCCTCACTGCCCTCAGGTTCCTCATAGACCGAGGGTCTGACCTCTCACTACTGTACCCTCACTGCCCTCAGGTTCCTCATAGACCGAGGGTCAGACCTCTCACTAGTCAACAACGACGGAGAGCTGCCGGTGGACGTGGTGGACGAGCCTGCCATGGCCACGCTGCTGGCTCAGGAGATGGCCGCCAGGGGCATAGATGGTAAATTTGTAAAATAATGCAGTTAAAATGTTATACATCACTTTTAGTCTTTTAAAATATTATTTTCTATCTCATCTACCCATAAATACCGTTATATTCGAAATGCACAAGGAATGCTACAGTTAAACTATTATTTTATCTTATCTGTTCCCCTTATAAATAACGTTAAGGTGGAAATGCACCTAGAATAGTGCAGTTAAACTATTATATTCAACTTTATATATTTTACTTATAAATACCTTGGGGTAATTATAAATACTTACCGTTAAGGGGGAAATGTTCTTCAAATATCGCTGCTTGGCAGCTAATCTCAGACGCTGATTCATGCATGTTACAAAAATGTTGGTAATTATGATTATTATTCTTTCATTGTGACGGCTTAAATTAAATATCGGATCATGAACTACTAATATAGTGAACACGTCCACATGTCAGACTTAATAATGATGATATCTATATAACGTCTTCCGTTTATGACAGTTCAGGCCATAATCTTTTATAATGAACTCTGTCATGAAAAAAACTCTGTCGATGACTTATACGGTACTACTACTGTAAGTCATCGTAAAGCTTGTTTTGAAGATACGATGAATTTACTGTTCTTTTTCTTTGCTTTCTAACTACCATTTGTTTAACTCACGATTTAATTAAACTATTGATATAAGTATTTGTACGGGAGCTAAATAACTTTCGCACCTCGGTATATTTAAAAACTGTGCGTTTTCTTTGCTTTTAATTACGTACTCGTTTAACGTACAATTTTAGCAGAAAATATTTATATAGGAGCCAAATAACGCTCATACCTATAATTAATACGATGCTGGTGCTAATCAACACGGTGCTGGTACTAATCAACACGGTGCTGGTGCTAATCAACACGGCGCTGGGCAGGCAAGACGGCGCGCAGTGCAGAGGAGCGCTGTATGCTGCAGGACGTGACGCAGTGGCTGCACGAGGGCTGCCCTCACGACGCCCCTCACCCCAAGACGGGGGCCACCGCCCTGCATGTCGCTGCTGCTAAGGGCTACACTAAAGTCATGAGGTGAGGGCTACACTAAAGTCATGAGGTGAGGGCTACACTAAAGTCATGAGGTGAGGGCTACACTAAAGTCATGAGGTGAGGGATACACTAAAGTCATGAGGTGAGGGCTACACTAAAGTCATGAGGTAAGTCATACCTTAATGTGGCTGCTAAGGGCTTTTGAGTTTTAGCTGTGCCATAGATTTATGCTGGCTGTATAGATGTTGCAGGCTGTATAGATGTATGCAGGCTGTATGTGTGGTGGCTGTATTGATGTATGCCGTATGTAAGCAGGCTGTATAGATGTATGTATGCAGGGCTGTATAGATGTATGCAGGGCTTTATAGATTTATGCAAGGCTGTATAGATTTATGCAAGGCTGTATAGATTTATGCAAGGCTGTATAGATTTATGCAAGGCTGTATAGATTTATGCAAGGCTGTGTAGATGTATGCAGGCTGTATGGATGTATGCAGGCTGTATAGATGCATGCAAGCTGTATAGATGCATGCAGGCTGTATAGATGCATGCAGGCTATATAGATGTATGCAGGCTGTATGGATGTATGCAGGCTGTATAGATGCATGCAGGCTGTATATATGTATGCAGGCTGTATATATGTATGCAGGCTGTATATATGTATGCAGGCTGTATATATGTATGCAGGCTGTATGGATGTATGCAGGCTGTATAGATGTATGCAGGCTGTATGGATGTATGCCGCTATGTAGATGTATGCATGGCTGTGTGCGCCGATTATAGGTTACAAGATCTTGTGAGGCTTGCCTCTGTATTCATTAATTGGCTGATTTTCGTGTTTACTGCAGCTAGTTCCCTAACAAAATTTAGAGTCGCCCCAGCTTCTGGTAATCCAAATCAGAAGCTTGCTGCGAATGCTGTTCAGTTTGCATTTGTATTCAGATTTGTCCATTATTCTGAAGGTATTATTATATTTGTGAGCACGGCGCACTATCATGTCAGGATGATCCTCAAGTTGTTGGTCATAATGTTGCTCTGCTTAAAATATCTTATTCTTGTAGATTCCGCTTTGAGTTGGGGCTTAAGATTCGGATTGATCGACATGGTTGTCTTGCGTTCTAGAACAAGTAGAAAGTTGTATCGAACTTATAGTTTCATTTATTTTTTTGGAATAGCGAATTTGTTTAATGTGAAATTTGCTACCTAATGATTTGAATTGAATTTTAGTTGAAATTACGGGGCAGTGAGTTCTAACATCATTTAGATTCATATAAGGGAAATCACTATTTATATTGTCATTATATTCTGTCGCGTAACACGCGCCCTCAACGGCCTTCACTGCCTATAATTTGCTTCATTGATCATAGCGTAGACTTGGTATCTTTAATAAACACATACTGCATATATAATTCTGGGTAGTCGGACAACTCTGAGATCGTTGCGAGGTAAGCGAGATGTGAACGTGTTTCGGTTCGTGCTTCACTTGGCCATGTGAAGCCCTGTGGTTCACGTGGTCCTGTGGTTCACTTGACTACGTGGTTCACGTGGCTCTGTGGTTCACTTGACCACATGCATCACATGTTCCCATAATTTATTCATAGCATGACCTATCACCTGCCCCTGTGGTCATGACCTATGACCTGCCCCCCTCCCCAGGCTGTTGCTGGACGCGGGGTGTAACGTGAACGCCCCAGATCTGGACGGCTGGCGCCCCCTGCACGCCGCCGTCCACTGGGGGCAGACCGAGGCTGTGGAGCTGCTGTGTGACGCCCTTGCAGACCTTGATGCCCTTAATGCGGTGGGACAGACCCCTGCAGACCTCGCAGACCCCTCCATCAGACCTCTGCTCGATGAGATGAGACGTAAACATCAGAACAGACACAACCGCAAGCGCAAGTGAGACCCGTGCTGTTAGACCCTTAGACCTTTAGACCCTTGGACCTTTAGACCTTTAGACTCTTAGACCTTCAGAACTTTAGACCTTTAGACCCTTGGACCTTTAGACCCTTAGACCTTTAGACCTTTAGAACTTTAGATCCTTAAATCCTTAGACCCTTACATCCTTAGACCATTAACCCCTTAGACCCTTTGTGTACGGGGCACTCCATACGTTGAACATTCGCTGCTTTGTTGTCATCATTTTTGCTATGTTGTGGTTATAAGGTTGTTATCATTACATTTATGTGATAATCATAAAGCACTTTCATCGTAATTTATTTTTAATAAATTATTGGGCTAATTGCAGAGATTTGAGTAATTCTAAGTTAGGATGTTTTGCAGAATAGTGAAGTTGGAACAGCAGCAGAGGGTGTAAGTTTAGTACTTGTAGACACACTTAATTAAGGAGAGAAATAGCGTCAGTTTCACAATATCGTGAAGAGAAATAACATTATCGTGAAGAGAAATAATACCTAATATCGAGAAATATTGTGAAATAAATACCTGTAGTACATGTACACGCGGAGGTTGTACCTGTAGTACATGTACACGCAGAGGATGTAAGTGTAGTACATGTACACGCAGAGGTTGTACCTGTAGTACATGTACACACAGAGGTTGTAAGTTTACTTGTTGCAGGCCGTCGCCGTCGCGGGAGTCTGGGCGACGTAAGGAGAGCAGCGGCGCCCGCGACACGGAGAACGGGCCTAGGGACCGGCCCACTGAGAACGGTGGGTGGGGTGGTCTTGCCAGGGACGGTGGGTGGGGTGGTCTTGCCAGGGACGGTGGGTGGGGGAAGGGTTGGGACGGTGCAGCGTATGACCAGCAATCAGCCGCCTATTAATCCTGCCATCAGTAACCAGCCCATGACAAGATCTTGATTTTAATATTATTCGCTTTACACCATCATACACGGGAGCAAATAGCCCAGAGTGTAATGATAGTCCACTACTGAACGTTATATCGAATCATCACAGACTGTAGCTCGAACTGTAACCAGCGGATAACGGATTGCCACTAATCAGCCCAGCTCGTTAGGGGAACTGCACAAAACCTGCCGTGCACCACCAGGCGATCCGCGGATCGAATATGGTGCACATATTCGATATTCGATCCGCGGATCGAATATGTCTTCCGAGGCATTGTTAAAATACGTAACTTCGCTCATAGCACACGAGGTTAGGTTTCAAATAACTTAGTTCTTTTTCAAAATCTATCGTCCTCGACGAGGGACATCCGTGGCTTCGTTAAATAACGTAATTTTTCGCTCACAGCATCTGAGGTTTGGTTTCAAATAACTTAGTTCTCTTCCAAAATCTATCGTCTTTCGACGAGGGAAATCCGGGGCTTTGTTAAATAACGTAACTTACTAACTTTTCGCTCATATCATCTGGGGTTAGGTTCCAGAAAGCGTAGTTCTGTTCCAAAATCTATCGTCCTTCAATGAGTGGCCGTTCGACCGTAGGCAGATTGGATGCACGGGCGAGAGACGTACGGCTTGGTGGCGGTCATCATATTTATTGCAGGCTGTTTTCCTGTGGGCTGTTTGGTCTACTTCAGTGGATGTGATCTGTCTGGGTTACAGTCAAGAAGTGTTATAGGCTACGTTCTTGAGGGAAGGGATCATGATAGTCCATTCTAAGCACGGTAGTGGTGGTCTCCAACAGGCGTCCCACGGGAGGCATGATGGGTACGAAGAGTCATGGGGCGATCACTTGGTGTGGTGGCTAGAGTGGTTGTAACCCGTAATGCTGGTTGTAACCCGTAATGCTGGTTGTAACCTGTAATCATGCATTTAGGTTGCAGAGACTAGTAACTTGACAACGTTTGCTTGGCGTTTTATAACTCATTCTTATCTTGGAAGCTTCTTAACAATCTCTTTATTTGAAGCAACATTTATTAACACGAAAGGTTTGCTAACTGTTTACATCAAACATTATATTGCATTCTGTGTTTGTTAGCATCAAGCGTATATTACTGAGAAATTACTTTACCATTATATGTTTAGTTTGATTAAACGCATCAAACGTTAGCTGGTATCAAACGCATGTTGACATATACGTTACTGCTAAGTTTTTCAGCATCTATCGTTTGTTTAAATTCACAATGCTGCAACGTTTACTTCAATTCACAATGCTGCTCCGGATTTCCACTTTAGAAGAAAGCGACACATCCTCTGACACCTCCACTAGTGGCGATAGTTCTAGTGACGGTAGCTCTTCTTCTAGTAACCCCAGTGACAACAACCCACTTAGTGACCATGCTAGTTATGCTAGAAACAACGAAAACTTCACCAACACTATCAGTCCTAGTGACACCATCAACGCGACGAATCTTAGTGAACCTCGAGTCATCAACGTCACTAGTTACACAAATGACATCGTTAACGCCACGAACACTAGTGCTGTTAGTGACACGAATACTTGTAACACTAGTAAGACAATAACCCTCGAAACATCATCCAAGGTAGCAACCACGCAAGCAACCTCGACGAACCCAAACAATAACAACAACTGCAGCGTTCTTAACCTACGCAGCCGAACCAATCCGGCAACCTGTTCCGGGAGTTCCCGGTACAACCGCTACAAAACCGGGCATTTTATGGAGGTTTCACCCACCCGTCTGCCGGGCAGCGGTTTGCAGTTTCCAGCCGCTTCTGAACCGGCGGCTGTAACTAGTCAAATAGACAAGTCTGTGAAGCCAATACTACCGACGTGTGGAAGCATCGCGACGCCCGTCAATAAATTAAAAGTTCCTCCTATTAATAAGACTACTAGACTTATATCGCCTATTACTGAAACATCTGAGACTACTAGTCAGATATCCCCCATTCCGGAGACAGCTAGAACTACTAGTCATATATCACCTATCATTGATACGACTAAGACTACCACTCATCGAAATAGTTGGGTAAACGTAAGTCAGTCCACACATGCAACACTGAGCGCAGTCCACAACTCTATCACAGCAAGTCCCAAGTCCACCACAGAAACGGAAGACTTCAAGAAAAATGTAGACCTCACCTACCTCAGTTTGCCGCGCGATGAAGACTGCGCAGTCTTCAGTAACAGTGACGTCATCATTAGTAACAGTAACGCAGTCATCAGTAACAGTGACGCAGTCATCAGTAACAGTGACTTGTGTCCCAACATGAACGCAGGATTGCGTCCCAGACCCGCGCAAACGTCGCAATCTTGTAACGACTTCAGCGTCGTCGCGCTCTCCGGGCCTGCGATGCTCAAGTCGTCGAGCTCGTCCTCGTGTCTGGGGACCATGGGGAGCTTGGGTGTTGCTGGGGACTTGAGTCATAGATCTCTCGGGGACTTGTGTGAGGGCATCAAGTTCGCTGATGAGGACGATGATAGCGGAAACGATGATAGCGCAGACGAGTTAGCGGTCAATGGCGGTGTGAACGTCTGCAGTAATTCACATGGCGGTGCATCAGATGGTGCTAAATGCTCCTCCTATACTCCTTCTCATGTCTCTCATGACCAACATCTATCCCCACATCATGACCAACATCTATCCCCAGATCATGACCAACATCTATTACCACATAATAACCAACGTCTTTTACCGCATCAAAAGCCAATTGAGAAATGCCAGAATAAAAAATATCTGGACAAACCAGATGAACAATACACATCAGTTTTAGTAGATAAACTGACTTGCCCACATCCACAACGTGCACATCATCAACTACCACCACAACATCACACTTCACTCGCAGGAGTTGCACCACCAGCACCACAACACATAACACAACACCTGATGCTGCCGATGTTGCACGGTGGTGAGTGGTGTTTCTGTGTCGTCTTATCGTCGTATTTCTTAACCCTCTACCGCCTGGCATGAGTAACCGCAGCAATATTAGCAGTATATTAATATTACGAATATAATAAAATAAATAATACGAGTAACCGGAGCAATATTGTCACAAGCCTACTTCCCAAAAAGGATACGTTTTAGTGAGCGCAAAATGACTTGCACTGATGGTTGCCGCCACGTACGACAACTTTAAAATGTTCTCTGTTGCGTACAAACGTCCTCAGGTTGCTACACTCAATAGTTTACGTATAAATTGCCGCCACGTACGACAACTTTAAAATGTTCTCTGTTGCGTACAAACGTCCTCAGGTTGCTACACTCAATAGTTTACGTATAGTTTAAGCTGAAAGTTATGTTCCCTGAGAGTGCCGTACGGCGGTAGAGGGTTAAATCGTTCTTTGAGACTCAATTTTCTCCTTATAATGTGTCTTTATTATTCATTATATTTATCTATGAAGGAAAAATTTGTCATTGCCATTTTTAACCTTTATTTCTTTATCCTACTCTATATGGGAATGCTCTCGTGTCCCGCTAAACTTGTTAAATTTAAGTTATTGCTAATAAATTACTATCACTGTTCAATTAGGCATGCATATTTTATCAAATTAAAGTTTTCGGTATGATTAGTTTATATTAGTTTTCTCTGGCTCCATTACGAGTGTTTTCTTCTCTTATTGAAGTCCTTTGTTTCGTCGTCTGTTCCCATTCCTTCTCCCTACAGAGAAACTGGTTTTCAATTCGATGCTTCTATCTGCAATTGTAACCAATAGTTCTCCGATTCTGGATGCATTCCTCTTGGCAAATTTTAATTTTTCTGGAATCTCTGAACAAAGTTACTATAAATACCTCCCAGCTGCGTTGTAGTCGCAATAAATACCTCCAGCTGCGTTGTAGTCCCAATAAATACCTCCTAGCTGCGTTATAGTCCCAATAAATACCTCCTAGCTGCGTTATAGTCCCAATAAATACCTCCTAGCTTCCCATCAGTCCCAGTTATGAACCAATCATCAGGGTTAAGACTCAATGCCATCAATGTTATACTGGGCACATCTATTATAGACCTCAAAGCTTGTGTGATATGAACACGACTCTGTTAATACACAGGGGCTAGTGAGGTATACTAGGTATACAGGATACCTAGGTACACAGGCACTAGGTACCCGACCTAGTACCTGTATACCTAAGTATCCTGTATACCTAGTGCCTGTGTATCTAGGTATCCTGTGTACCTAGGTATCCTGTGTACCTAGGTATCCTGTGTACCTAGGTATCCTGTGTACCTAGGTATCCTGTGTACCTAGATATCCGGTGAATCTAGGTATCCTGTATACCTAGTGCCTGTGTACCTAGGTATCCTGTATACCTAGGTATACACGGTACTAGGTACCGTGTCGGGATGTTACCTGGACACACCCTTAATATTCAATGCTGGAATCATGTGGTGTCATAAAATAAGGTCCAATTAAAAAATTGGGTTAAGTTTAACTTTTCACTTAAAAAATTTATTGACTAATCAAACTTGCTTCGAATTTTAAATAATGGGTTACCTATATGTCCATTCTTTTTTTAGTGTCAGAGTTTCAATATATTTCCTTCATATGATTAAATTCAATAATCATTATTATGATAGGAAGACGATCAGATAACAAGATTCCCTTACGCCATGAATGATTTATTTATCCCGTGCAGCTCTCACTTCGCCGTGTGAATACAAAGCAAGTAGCTTGTATTTCCCTCGTATATTGCGACACGTATAGCCCTTGTATATTTGGCGCCAAGGTTCAAACACACATCACACAAGTATACTCTATGAAATACATAATAAATAGCTTCAAATAAAATGTTTATTGAAGACTTGTGTTGCAGGTGCAGTGAACAGCGCCACGCCCTTAGACGCTTCAGAAGTCCAGAGCTGGCGCAGACCCTCGTCCCTCAAGGGGGCTAGACCATCCAAGGGTAAGACTCGTCCCTCAAGGGGGCTAGACCATCCAAGGGTAAGACCCTCCTCCCTCAAGGGGGCTAGACCATCCAAGGGTAAGACCCTCCTCCCTCAAGGGGGCTAGACCATCCAAGGGTAAGACTGTCATCCCTCAAGGGGGCTAGACCATCCAAGGGTAACACCGTTCTCCCACAATTACGCTAGACCCTAGATAGATTAGACCGTGCAGTAAACGAATGATCCCACACGTAGACCCGGTGATGGTAAATTGATTGCTTGTTTTTGTCCTCAGAAAACAACGGCAGTCCCGTGGTCGGTCGCGAGCCTCTGACTGAGCGCTCGTTATCCACGCCCAACAACCTGGAAGACAACAACAGTGACAACAACAAGCTTGTTGTCACCCCCGTCAGACGTACTGTCTCTTTTGACAGGGAGAACAGGTGTGTGGGACTAGGCACTGTAGACAGGGGACGGGTCTGTGGGACAGGACTTCTGTTACCGCGTGGGAAAAGGACGGGACCGTGGGAACAGAACGGGACCGTGGGAACAGGACGGGACCGTGGGAACAGGACGGGACCGTGGGAACAGGACGGGACCGTGGGAACAGGACGGGACCGTGGGAACAGGACGGGACCGTGGGAAGAGGACGGGACCGTGGGAACAGGACGGGACCGTGGGAACAGGACGGGACCGTGGGAACAGGACGGGACCGTGGGAACAGGACGGGACCGTGGGAACAGGACGGGACCGTGGGAACAGGACGAGACCGTGGGAACAGTACGGGACCGTGGGAACAGTAAGGGACCGTGGGAACAGGACGGGACCGTGGGAACAGGACGGGTCCGTTGGAACAGGACGGGTCCGTGGGAACAGGACGGGACCGTGGGAAGAGGACGGGACCGTGGGAACAGGACGGGACCGTGGGAACAGAACGGGCCGTGGCAACGGGACTGGACCGTGGGAACAAGACGGGGCCGTGGGAACAGGACGGGAACAAAAGTTATGAGTTAAGCAAAGCATGTTAGGTGGCGCGTGTAACACTGATTATGTCATTGAATAATCAAGGGACAACTCAGCGTCAGTAACTTCAGGTCAATTGTTGGTTATTAGCTGAAGGAACTAACCTAATTCGCGTGTGCTTGCTGGTTATCCCTAGCATGCGTATCCCTGTTCACTAATAATGTTATGTTTGTGAAGTAACTAGCCGTTAATTAACGTGTAGTTAGTAACGTAGCTGCTACTGCCACTAACTGCATGCTCTCTCCTTCCTCCTACATCGGTGCGGTCGGCTACATACCGTCCATATATTCCTCTTAAAAATTCCTTTCTTAATTCTATTTATTTATTTTATAACATTTCTTTACTTTATTTCTATATTTTTCTTAATTATTCACTATCCACATACTACCGTCTGCCTCGCATATATTCCTTTGTTAATTCTATTTATTTATTTTATAACATTTCTTAACTTCATTTCTATATTTTTCTTACTTATTCACTATCCACATACCGTCTGCCTCACATATATTCCTCTTATACATTCTTTTCTCTGCATTCTATTTATTCCTTTTTTAACATTTATTTAATTTATTTCTGTATTATTCTCACTTATTCACTCCTCGTTATGCCTGTACAACTCTTTTCCACTTTGCGTTCTGTCCATTATAAATTTTTTTTTTCAAATCTCTTTATCTACTTTCATATAACGACTCTTTTGAATTTTGCTCGATAACTTTTGACACAAACCTCCTAACATTCCTTCAAGTTCCTGCTCTAAATATCTTCATCTATTATTCTCTCAAAGGAAGGCAATTCATATTTTTTAATTCAATCCGAGTTCTTAATCATGTCCATCTTTTCCTGTTGTGTTCCTCCACGGCTGCTCTACTTAGTTCATTTCTTTGAATTAACTCTCATTGTTCTGTTACATTCATTATTTGGATTATCATTCATGCTATCCTTAGTGTCCGTCTTTTTTTAATGTTTTCACAACAATTGCCATTGCTTGCTCAGTTTCTCTTACCCATTTCGTATATTCATTCTAAATTCATCTCATATTTCTATCGCCCTTTATTCATTGCTTCTCTCTTATCATATTCCTGCTGGATTTCTCCAAGACTCGTGCGGTTGCTTCGTTTCTCTCGTAATCGTTTTTATTTTGCTTGCATCCCTTTCTGCGCTTGGATATTGTCTAATGTTTGCCCTTTTTTATCGGTCCCTCATCACTCGCCGTCATCGTTATTTTCGTTCCTTCATTTTCCTGTCATCGATCGTTATGTTTTTCGAGATCTGTTGCCCTGACCACGCATCTTAATGCTCTGACATAATCGAGATTATTTACATACAAATAATTCCTGTTAACAGTCAATCTGGAATTAATTCCGGAAATGAACAAAACCTTCGTATTTTATCGGTGAATTTCGATTCCCCTCCCATCGAACTTTCAAACTTACTTCTCGACTATGGAATTTCCAGTTGTACTCCTCCAAACCACAACAATGAATGTGTTCACTACAACTCTATTGTGGCAGCGCCTGAACTTAGGGCGCACAAACCTGACCTCTCTAGCCAAGAGTTGCCCTCTCATTCCGGGCCATCGTTGCCCTCTCATTCCGGGCCATCGTTGCCCTCTCATTCCGGGCCATCGTTGCCCTCTCATTCCGGGCCATCGTTGCCCTCTCATTCTAGGCCATCGTTGAGCAGAGATTCTTCGACAGCCTCCAGTCCGTCGCTTAATCCAGACCACATCCTACCCATCGCTCATCAAGCCAAGCCTGAGCTGTCAGATGCTTACGACAGCGCATTAGTTTGTCAGTTTATTGATGGTGATATGGAGGAAGATGAGCTTGAGTTGTCCATGTCGCAGTCACTGATAAATGTCACTGATGACAACAAGCCTCTTTCAAATATCAATGAAAAAAATGTTGGTTCAAGTGTTGGTTTTTCTTCTCATGGTTCAGAGGCGAATTTTTCCCAATCTGTCTCGAGATATGATTCTAATCTAGAGATCTCGAACGAGTCGTCTCGTTCTACACCCGTCTTGAAGTCTCCTCTCAAATCGTCCATCAACACACCAACAGCCAGTCATCAAACTCAGCTTGAAAAACATGAGAATGAACATTTTGCAGCTTCCTCAGCTAGTCTAACCAGACGTACGCTGCCTCATATTCCTGATTCTCTTTCTTCGGTCACCCCGCTTGTTGGGGATCTGGATACCTTAGCCACAGCTGGGCTCGCTGTGGCAGATCTTCCCGCTTCTGTTTCATCACCTTCATCTATGGGTAAAAATGTAGGTAATTCCGTGCAGACTGTAAATTCTAGTGCTAAAACGAGTGATGGTGCCAATCACACGTACAGTTTGGCGCACGGTAGTGTTAGTACCTCTGTTCTTCGTAACACTGAAGACTTGGAGACCCTCGACTTCGATTCATATCCTTTACTTGAACATGAACAAAAAACGAGTTCAAACCCAACAGGCATAAAGAGTTCCCATTCCCATACATCCAATGTAGCCATGTCGAACTACTTCGTTGATGCTAACCAAAATAGAGTCACCGATGAAGAGAAGGCCTCAGCTGCTGTCTTACATTCACCGATGGTCCTTCACGTTGACGGTGACCAACATCAGGATTCCATCACCAACATTCGCGTCGAATCCAAACGAAGTGCTGAAGGTACCGACCAAGACACTGAAAGCAAGTTCCTGAAAAGAGAAACACGACCGTCATCAAAGCCACAATGTGATAATGAAGCAGTTTCCGATATAAATTCTTCTGCGCATACGAGTTCGCCGAGAAACCTTGAACCTTCACACCTCGAATCCAAGTTTAAGATCTCTGACACAAATTCTAGGTCTGACACAAATATGGGCTCTGACAATGCGCACGATGTTATCAAACTGAAATTGGGACTTAGAAAATCCCTTTCCTCTGTTCCGGACAACATTAAAATGAACTCTTCGCGCAGCAGCAGCTGCAGTAGAAGCGATGTCTTCAATACCTCAGGGCCCGCCGTGTCTGTCACCTCCCCACGTAAGAACGGTTCCTTATTGGACGCCGACAATGAACCGACCAAGCCGCGAGCGTGGTCAAGTATAAGTAATCTCTCTCACTTGAGGGCTGATGATCTAATGGATGAACCAAGTCATTTCGAGCCTCGCAAGCCTCGCGTACAATCAACAAGAAGTCGATTTTCTTCTCAAGACAACCCCTCTTCCGTGGCACAAACCACTGTCCCTGCCTCTACCGCCGATACCAGCGTCGGCCTGAAGCGGATTCGTTCTATCCATGGCAATCCTGGTTACTACAATTCTTGGAATTCGAATCCACAGTCAGTATCGTCCCAGAAAACTATGTATGGTACTCTTCCTCGTAATGCCCATTCCCATAGTCTCCTACCTGATTTAAAGACATCGCAGTTTGAGCATTCGTCCAACTACTCAACACTACCTACTAGGACGCGACAAGCAAGGCTACAGCGTTCATACAAATCAGCTTCAACCATGAATGAAATGACTCCAACAACTGTTAGAACTATTCCTAGTACTTCATCCAGTGCTGACTTAGCCGAGACCAACTATCATGCCGGTCACAAAACCTTATCATGTACGGATTTGCGTGGTGCATCATCGGTGGGTCTCGACGAGACGGTCACTCTTCGTAAGAGGGGAATTGGTGAGGGTGAGAGGGCACATTATCCCTATAGAGACAGACCTGCCTCTCTGTACAAATCATCCACATTCGATGACAGTCAAATTGATATCGCTTTGAGAAGAACTTCGGGCGAAGCGCAGACTCTTCATTCAAAGCCTCTTTCGGTGGTCTCTTCATTTCCTTCTCATTGCTCATCCTCTACTAACACTCTTTCTTCTTCCTCTACTTACCTTGGTGCTGACCATACCACACCTACCGTCTCTCCCAGTACCATAACTCCTGCTACCACCTCCGTACTCTTCGTAGCCTCTTCTACCTGTAACCCCACAACACTTGACACCACAAGCGCCACCACCGCGCAGAGCAGCTTCAGCGTCATTAACAGGCCTACGCGCTCTCTATCGCTCAAGGAACGCATAGCGAGGTGAGGGATGCATAAATACCTACAGACCACTGCGCTACCAGGGAGTTTGGTGCTTGCAAGACCAGGGTGCTTGTAGTGGTCCCCTGCAAGACCAGGGTGCTTGTAGTGGTCCCCTGCAAGACCAGGGTGCTTGCAATGGTCCCCTGCCAGACCAGGGTGCTTGCAGTGGTCCCCTGCAAGACCAGGGTGCTTGCAGTGGTCCCCTGCAAGACCAGGGTGTTTGCAGTGGTCCCTTGCAAGACCAGGGTGCTTGCAGTGGCTTCCAGTGAGTAGGTCTACATAACAAATATATTTACATGTCCAAGTTATAGCAGGTGAACATGAAGTAAGCCAAACATAACCTCGCATGAGCATGAGTATATCCTGCCATTTGTCCCGCTTTCTTGTGTTGTGAGCGCCTAACTCATCCTGTGGAATGGTGCAGGTAGTTAACTCATTAACTAACACTCTTTTGTTCGTTGTTGTCCTGATTATTACCATTATTAGCCTTGATCGGAATGGGGGTGCGAAACGCATGGTTTTTGTCACGTGACTCGTCACAAAATAAAGCAATGAATGTGTGTTATTGATAAGTGTTACTAGTTACATGATATCTCCAATCATGTTACATCTTTGTGTGACATAGTACACTTGATCGTGTTATTGATATTATTGTCGATCGTACCTAGAAATAATTCCTTTTATGTACTCGTGTAACTTCTCGTAATTTGACGAGAACATTTAACCTACTTCGATGTTACCTCAACTGATGACTTATAACCTCTTCTAATCGTACATGTTAACTAATCTAAATATTACGTGTGTTACCTACTTACCATCGCTTGGTTACAGGAACACCCGAGATTGTGTGGTGGTTGGTGTCCAACCAGACACCAATCAGTCATCCACCACAACCACATCCCCGAGTGCCACCACCAACTCCCCTACATCCCCAGTTATACCTACCCCTACTCCTACCACCACCTCGTTTTCTCTTATTAATTCTAATTCTACATCATCTACTACCACTTCTACCTCTGAGAGTTTACCTACGACTTACTGCACTACCTCTACATCTAGTACCTTACCTGCTAGTGTCGCCACCACTAGTTCCTGTACTACTGCTAGTGCAGTCACTACTTCTAGTGCCACAACTGCCACAGTCAATAGCACGGCCACTAAGACCAGCAACTCTAGCAACGTCTCGCCCAACAGAGTTCTTTGCAGGTACGTCGTATTTCTTTCGTCACCTTTGTACGTTATGTTGGCATTGTACGTTCTTACATCAATTCGTATGTTAGCCTGACATTATATGTTTGTACGTCGAATTCGTACGTTATGTTGGCATTGTACATTCTTATGTCGAATTCGTACGATAGCCTGACATTATACGTTCTTACGTTGAATTAGTACATTATGTTGACATTGTACGTTCTTACGTCGAATTTGTACGTTAGGTTCACATTGTACATTCTTACATCGAATTCGTACGTTATGTTGACATTATACGTTCTTACATCAAATTCGTACGTTATGTTGATATTATACGTTCTTACGTCAAATTCGTACGTTATGTTGATATTATACGTTCTTACATCAAATTCGTACGTTATGTTGATATTATACGTTCTTACGTCAAATTCGTACGTTAGGTTCACATTATTCATTCTTACGTCGAATTTGTACGTTATGCTGACATTATACGTTCTTACGTCAAATTTGTACGTTATGTTGACATTATACTTTCTTACGTAAAATTCATACGTTATGTTGCCATTATACGTTCTTATGTCGGATTAGTACGTTATGTTGACATTGTACATTCTTATGTCGAATTGGTACGTTATGTTGACATTGTACGTTCTTACGTCTAATTCGTATGTTATGTTGACATTGTACGTTTTTGCATCAAATTCGTACTTTATGTTGACATTGTATGTTCTTATGGCCACTTCGTACGTTAGGTTTAAATTGTACATTTTGTAGACGTTACTCGGTAGCTCGTTACATTGACGCTCATTATTTTGACGTTTTTCGTTATTTTGACATTTTTGTTATCTTGACATTGTGCTCCAGATTAAAGTCAGACGCTGTGCTAACGTTCATTCGTACTTACGGAACGTTGGCGTTGTAGGTTACGTCTATCTCGACGTCTTTATTTACATTGACATAAATTTTTTCATGTTGACGTCTCAGGTTATATTGATGCATGTTGCGTTATATGTCATATGCGTTATATGTATGCATTAGCGTTATATGTCTAGTGGTATAACTTATGTTATTCAGTTGTTATGATAGCCTTGTTTTGTTTGTCCTCTACATATCATTGTTGCATTTACTGTCTACAGTCTTTGAAGCATCTTCCATCTCTCAGTTGTCTATGCCTTGCGTGTTAGACTTCATATACTGGCGCATCCAATTGTAACATGTACGTCTTGTTGTGAGTAGATCACGTATGTGTTTGTATGTACTTCTATTTCCACGTGTGTAACTATGAACAATATAACTCAGTACTCACTGCAGTGAGTGACAGAGAGCTCATTTTCTCGTCGACGAAAACGTGAAGTCACGGACGGACATGACGAGCACAATAGTGCATTTTTTCCATAAATGAGAAAATGCGCTAACAATATGAGCCCAAGAGTTGCAGCGTCATGATGTAGGTAAAGGTTTATGCATGCTAGTGTATTATCGACAGCAGCCGTTGAGCTTACCACGACGAGGTTGGTGTGAGTTGTTAGTGCAAGGCATGAGGGATAAGTGAACAAGGTGCGAGCTTTTCCCCGACCTATCTAGAACATGTGTAACGTCCTGTTTTATCTAACCACTTATTAACTATCCCTTTAGGGGTATTTCATTCAATGATTATTGGGTATTCCTGTTGGTACTTCAATGGGTTCTTGTGGATGTTTACGATGGTACTAAGACTTGTTTTATTTAGGGTATTCGTGTTGGTACTTCAATGGGTTCTTGTGGATGGTTACGATGGTACTTAAAATGGGACTTTACAATTGGTCGTAGTATTTAAGGCTGCTGATAGTATTCATTCATGGCATATCAAATTGTGCTTATTGATACTTGTAGTTTACATTATTGCTACCTGAAGTAGCTTCTGCCTCGTCACCTACTTCTACTTCATGATTCTTCATGATTATGGGAACTACTTTTATTTCTATGGAGAAGTATAATTATAATGCTATTTTTACTATTTGAAGTTATATCTGCTCGATTAATATTTACGTTATTTTGATTCTTTCTTATTTCACCACTATGATCTCTTCTTACTTCATGATCCTACTTATACCTCATATTTTACTCGTACTTCCATCGCAAAATTCTACTCTTGCTTCATGTTTATATTTATACGTCATGATCAAATTATGCTTCGGGATTATCTTATCCATTCATGATGCTAATAATGAGCCATTACCTTACAATAATGGTTACACTTTCATGAATTTACGGTATTGCCGTTAATGTCACCGCATCTTCATCTACATCCTGGTTCTATATTGATTTCTTTGGTATTCTATTGTTTCTAATCTAAATTCCCTACGTTATTTATCATCCTAACATAATTTATAAGGGCATTCTTCACCTACGTACTTTATTAATAGTGAATTGTGGTGTATGTGTTGCTTGTGCGGCAACGTCACTATCATCACTAGTGCTCCAAATGTTGGTGCTAGCCATATAATATATTGTGATGTATGTGTTGCTTGTGCAGCAACGTCACTATCATCACCAGTGCTCCGAATGCTGGTGCTAAACCAACGAATCAAGCACCAACAATCACAGCTGTCAATACAACTGTCAAAAACATCGACACGCCACCCACACCACCACCAAAACAACACTTGTCACCACCTACACCACCAGCAAGCACCGCTGCACCACCAACTACCACTAGCACTACCACAACCACCAGCACTAGCAGTGCTAGTCAAATGACCGCGGCACTAGCTAAGATGAGCCCAAGCAGCGTCATCAAGAATTTCTTCAAGTGCGTTGTTGTTGCTAATGATAACAACTGATGTTGTTGTTATTGGCGGTTATGCGTGTTGCGTTATTTGTTTGAGCGTTACTAGTTATAACAAACTTCACATTTGCTTCACGAGAATATGCTATCTTTACTGCCGTAAAATGGGGTAACTTAGACCACTTTCTTTTTTATAAATGATGCCATTTTTTTACTAGCTAAATTAAACTTGAATTGAAACATGCAAAATACAGGTCTATACTCTAGCTTTACTCACCATAAATTGCTGGCTCCTGCCTCTCATAGTCTTTATGTAATCTCAAAAAAAGTGATGGTCGAAGTTACCCCAGCTCCTGGGGTAACTTAGACCGGGTGATAAAATCAATTATATTTTTTGGTAAAATAACTCCAAATAACTCCAGGTTTTGGTGCATTTGTAGTAGAACTCTTCTAGTTACATATGCAAATGACAAACTTGAGGAAAGTGTCATATAGCCTCAGTATTAGGCCTTTAATGCCCATTGACAAAATTTTTCTATGTCAAATAGTTTTTGAGTTGTGGGGGTTATTGTTAAAAAAACAAAAAGTGTCTAAGTTACCCCGCCGGTCTAAGTTACCCCATTTTACGGTGCTTCTTTTTACTTTGTTCGATAACCTACTTGCTTTGAATTAAATTGTTTGTATAAATTTAGGGTTGCCCATTAAAATTGTATAATTAGCAAGTCAAGTGAACTTATTAATTGTTCTTGCAGAACAATGTTTTCTTATAATATTAGAAAATAAATGACACAACGCAGTTGTGTTTCTGTAAACTGCTTTAGACAAACCATCGAACTTATTGCTTCCTAAATAATTGTGTAATTAAAGTGTGTAGATTTATAACTATCACGTGTAAGATTCGTTATTAAGTGACTGTTAGGTATGCGTAAAATAAATCACTGCAAGCAATACTAACATTCTGACGCAGTCTGAAAAACGAATAAATACAATTGCACTCCAGGGGCCATACTTTCAAAACTCGCTAATTAAGTGAATTTAAGTACTTACGCTCTATTTTCTTATCTATGATTGGTGGATTTTGCATGAAAGGCTGTCAATGATTGGCTGATGAACTTACGATCTCTTAACTTTTTTTTGAAAGTATAGGCCCAGGAACTTGCAGTTTCGGCGTGTCTAGCTTACCGCATTACCGATTACACCGTAAAAGTTTCGGGTCAAAAATTGAATCGAAGAAGGAGCAAGAAATTTTATTCTAATTACTATATGATTATCGTTCTCCCGCGTGTTACTGTTCGCACCGTACAAGTTTTGAGTCAGAAATTAAATGAAAGAAAGGCCAAGAAATTTTAATTGTATTACTGAATGATTAACGTTCTCTGCTAAGACGTTCTTCGAACGCTTTAGTAAACTCCAGATCTGTTATTGTTCAAACCAGACATGACTAGATGCGAAATCAATCTACTGAAAAAATTTACCATAGAACATATCAGCGAGTTCATTGTTCTGTGCAACAATTGAACATAGAACATATCAGNAACTCGCCACAGCAAAACAATTTAGCCACACACAACTCGCCACAGCAAAACAATTTAGCCACACACAACTCGCCACAGCAAAACAATTTAGCCACACACAACTCGCCACAGCAAAACAATTTAGCCACACACAACTCGCCACAGCAAAACAATTTAGCCACACACAACTCGCCACAGCAAAACAATTTAGCCACACACAACTCGCCACAGCAAAACAATTTAGCCACACACAACTCGCCACAGCAAAACAATTTAGCCACACACAACTCGCCACAGCAAAACAATTTAGCCACACACAACTCGCCACAGCAAAACAATTTAGCCACACACAACTCGCCACAGCAAAACAATTTAGCCACACACAACTCGCCACAGCAAAACAATTTAGCCACACACAACTCGCCACAGCAAAACAATTTAGCCACACACAACTCGCCACAGCAAAACAATTTAGCCACACACAACTCGCCACAGCAAAACAATTTAGCCACACACAACTCGCCACAGCAAAACAATTTAGCCACACACAACTCGCCACAGCAAAACAATTTAGCCACACACAACTCGCCACAGCAAAACAATTTAGCCACACACAACTCGCCACAGCAAAACAATTTAGCCACACACAACTCGCCACAGCAAAACAATTTAGCCACACACAACTCGCCACAGCAAAACAATTTAGCCACACACAACTCGCCACAGCAAAACAATTTAGCCACACACAACTCGCCACAGCAAAACAATTTAGCCACACACAACTCGCCACAGCAAAACAATTTAGCCACACACAACTCGCCACAGCAAAACAATTTAGCCACACACAACTCGCCACAGCAAAACAATTTAGCCACACACAACTCGCCACAGCAAAACAATTTAGCCACACACAACTCGCCACAGCAAAACAATTTAGCCACACACAACTCGCCACAGCAAAACAATTTAGCCACACACAACTCGCCACAGCAAAACAATTTAGCCACACACAACTCGCCACAGCAAAACAATTTAGCCACACACAACTCGCCACAGCAAAACAATTTAGCCACACACAACTCGCCACAGCAAAACAATTTAGCCACACACAACTCGCCACAGCAAAACAATTTAGCCACACACAACTCGCCACAGCAAAACAATTTAGCCACACACAACTCGCCACAGCAAAACAATTTAGCCACACAAATACACAAGTTTGGTGTGCGCTTCTGAGCGCGATTTCCCTCCCAGGGCTGCTCGTGGGGGTCTGTGCTGGGCCCCCCTGTTGCGGGGTTAGGGCTGGGGTTAGGTAGGTTCTGGTCGTCGTGTCGTCTCATCCCCACGTCACGAGGAGTACTACACTCTTGTCTCCGCATCCTCGCATCTTGTTCTTCTTCTTCTAGTTTCTCTTTAGCTTGTTTTCTTGTGATGCTTGTCGTAATTGCCAGACGCAGACGACGTGCTGTTCAGCCTTAGTAATACAAGTTTCTTAATTAATAATATTGTCATGGAATTATTATTATTTAATAATATTGTGATGGAATTATTATTATTTATTAATATTGTCATGGAATAAGCAGTGTGCTGTAGACTAGACATGTTATCTCTTGTTCACAAGCTTATCTTAGCCGCTTGATTGCTGTTCCATGAGACGCTAATGCTTGCTATTGCTTTGACGTGTGCTGTATAACTGTTCCTTCTTCAACTGTGAATTATTTCTGCTGCTAGGAGAGTTTAACTTTAGCTCGAACCCAGACGTGGGTACAACACGGGCACGTGGATGTAAAATGGGTGCTGAGTCTGTATATTGTGCCTTTATTACGCTATTACCTATTAATTGTATATTGAATAGTTTTATAAATATAAATTTGGCTGCAAGTTCGAGTGCTTTTAGATGCGATTCTCGTGTGTTCACATGGAGTTGATTGTACCGCTTATGACAAGACGGCTATCGTAATGCCGTGTATTGTGGAGAATCCGTTCTCATTATAAAGGTTATTAAGAACAATTGTTATCATGATGTTAGCTCCGGTATAGGCGGCCGTGATAATGATAACATCGCGGGCCAAGGTAGCGTCGAACATTGGAAGCTCTAGAACAGCGAAAGTGATGATGGTGGATTAGGTTGACCGTGTTAGTATCTTAACAAATAATCATTTTGCTACTAATAGTATGAAAAACTATGGAAAATGAACATATAGTACAACTGATGACGATGATGGCCGCGTTATAGGCGGCCGCCACTGAGTCGCCGTCATCACCGAGCGGCGCGAGGAAGGCCGAGGAAGACGACCGCCGTCCATCGTGGCGTCTCAAGGTGGACGACAACGACAAGAACAGGGTAAGTCTGGCCATTGTAGCTCAATGGTGTAGTATTGAGCTTATTTGTGTGACGGTATTAAATAGCTCTATATGAGTCAAGTTGTTATTTATGCATTGCCTGAATTTTTTAACTGAATTATAACACAACCTCACTTTCGGTTGTGAAGGACTACGCTTATAAGATCCGCCAAGCCGCTTATTAGAACCAACCCTACCAAAGTTGCTCATTGAATACTGGATAAAAGCCACACACAAAATATGTACAAAAGATCCTTTCATGCACTTATAGGCAGAAAATTTTCCAACATATTGCCTTCTAAAATAATGAATGAGACGTATATTGCTTCGAACGTGGCTATACGGCAAACAATGCGTCTCATTATTTTAGAAGCCATGTTGTTGGAAATTTTTTTGCCTAAGTACATGAAAGGATATTTTGTATATCATCAATGGAGAGTTACATAAGGTGCTCAGCATTGCAGCTCATGCTAGCTGCAATGAGCTCTTAACCCTCTACCGCCGCATGTCTCTCTCCGGGAACATTACTTTCTGCTTAAATTATACGTAAACTATTGAGTGTAGCGACCTGAGGACGTTTGTACGCAGCAGAGAACATTTTAACCCTCTACCGCTGTATGTCACTCTCCGGAACATAACTTTCAACTTAAATTATACGTAAACTATTGAGTGTCGCAACCTGAGGACGTTTGTACGCAACAGAGAACATTTTAACCCTCTACCGCCGTATGTCACTCTCCGGGAACATAACTTTCTGCTTAAATTATACGTAAACTATTGAGTGTCGCAACCTGAGGACGTTTGTACGCAACAGAGAACATTTTAAAGTTGTCGTACGTGGCGGCAACCATCAGTGCAAGTCATTTTGCGCTCACTAGAACCTATTCTTTTTGAGAAGTAGGCGCTTGACAATATGAGGTTACTCTTGTCTGGCGGTAGAGGGTTACCTGTAGCGTTCTACGATACTGAATTCACCCTGCTCTATGATCATTATCTTTAAATACTATTGGAACATTATACGCATTTTCTCATCTTATAGGTATTATAGCTTGAGTGTTTTCCAAGCAATATTATTATGGAATGGCCTCAACCGCATCTGTCATTGTTATTAACTTCTGCGTGTGAGTTTCTCCTAATAGAATTTATTGAAGTAATTTGCTTTATACAACGTCTCGATGTGGGATTTGAAAGAAATTTTCCATGCATTGTATCAGTATATTCATCTTCGCTAATTTATGTATTGAACAATTATTTTATGAAAAATTTTATCAAACGATATTGATTACAAAAAAAGTATAGTTCAACTTGATGTATAATTACTATCGTCTTATATATGTCCCTTCGTTCGTTTAAATGTCAATTTAATTTATATAAATTAGAAGTTTTGAACTGCCACTCGTCTAATTGCCTTTAATTACTCACACCACACTCGTCACGAATATTATAGACGTAATTATTCACATTTTTGTAACAATAAAAGCACGCTTGTTATTGTGGTTTATTATTATTAGTGTCATCACAATTGTTGTAGTCAGTATTCTTTTATATGGTTATCATTTGTATTGCTGTTGTCGTTGTTGTCACCTGTATTGTTCAGTTGAGTTGTTATCGTTGTTGTTGTTATTTATTTTCGAGACGTTTTGAATTTTAAAATTGTTATCATCTTGTTTGCTCTGCCCACAGTTCTGCCTGGAGGACGTACGAGGCAAGGAGCTCGCACCCAACGACCTCCACAACAACAACAACAACAAGAACGGTTAGACCTCAGTGCCGGGACTGATATTAGACCCCAGTAGCGAGACTGGTGTTGTAGACCCCTGTAGCGAGACTGGTGTTGTAGACCCCAGTTGCGAGACTGGTATTGTAGACCCCAGTTGCGAGACTGGTGTTGTAGACCCCAGTTGCGAGACTGGTGTTGTAGACCCCAGTTGCGAGACTGGTGTTGTAGACCCCAGTAGCGAGACTGGTGTTTTAGACCCCAGTAGCGAGACTGGTGTTGTAGACCCCAGTAGCGAGACTGGTGTTTTTGTAGACCCCAGTAGTGAGACTGGTGTTGTAGACCCCAGTAGCGAGACTGGTGTTGTAGACCCCAGTAGCGAGACTGGTGTTGTAGACCCCAGTTGCGAGACGATGCTAGTGGCATATCAAAAGTGCAATATTTTCTCAGTATTCAGAAATATTATAGAGCAATAAATGTATAATTGTATAGGTGATCGGTTCTCATGCTTTCTCGTGTTGATTTATTTTTCATTTACTATCAATCTTATGTGTAACGTGCCCTCGAAATTCGTTTGAACCAGACGCTAGGATAACTGCTTCCTAGAATAATAATAAATAATAATAATGTTTATGCAGCAAAACAATTGTCGCTTCTTTGATCAGTGTTTCTTCTCGTGCATAAGGAGATTGGTGATTAGTTCGCTCGGCATATGTATTTTTGAATTTATTCAATTTAGAGCACCTCACAGTATCATGATGCCCCTCACAGTATCACGATGCCCTCACAGTATCATGATGCCCTCACAGTATCATGATGCCCTCACAGTATCATGATGCCCTCACAGTATCATGATGCCCTCATCACAACGCACTCCCCCTCATCACCTCACAACACTCACCATCCAAAGGACCCAAAGCCTCACCACCACCTCACCAGCATTATTTCATCATATTATATTTATCATCTACCGGGTATACTCTATATATTAAACAATTATTCAAGGAAACGATCATATCACGACATACCTCCTCTCATCCACCACGAAACTGTATTATTTCATTATATTTATCATCTTTACTCTATATATTAAAACAATTATTCAATAAAACGATCATATCAAGACACACCCCTTTACTCTCACCATTTACCAGCATTATTTCATTATACTTATCATATATAATCTCTATATATATATATATTAACAATCATCTAATGAAACGATCTTATCACGACAAACTACCCCCCCCGCTCCCGCCACCAGAGGATGAGGGTGCAGAGCTACGCAGCGGCGGAGGGACAGGACAGAGCCGCGAGGGCTCGCAGGCCGCCATCCAGCGGCGCAAGAAGCCAAAGCGTCGCAGCACCGGCGTCGTACACGTCGATATGGACGTGAGTGCCAACGTGTGGTCCTTCTTGTGCTGTGTGGTCCTTTTTGTGCCGTGTGGTCCTTCTTGTGCCGTGTGGTCATTATTGTGCCGTGTTGTCCTTCTCTCCGCCGTGTGGCCCTTCTCTGTGTGCCGCAATTATTGTCACCTTTTTATGTAACGATGCTGTTTAGCTCCTAATATTAAATATATACACGTGTTGACTTTGTAAGTCTTTCACTTCGCACGGTACTAAGACGCAATCAAATCTATGGTGCTATTGCCATGCATTGTTCTACCGTACCATGAGCTTTCATGCCCCTTAACTACCAGCACTCACAAGGCTGGATATCATGCATGTACCACAAATTGCCCACACACAATAGCTACAATGATCCATGCATTGTTCTACCGTACCATGAGCGTCGAATGCCAAAGCAAAGTAAGAAAAAGCCTCTTGTTGTTCAAGACGCGCCAAATATTCACGCAACAAACACTGCCCAGCTTCCTTGATTGCTTCTTTTATTCTCAATTATTCTTAAGATAAACTTCCCATATTATTTGGATGCAAGATCTTCTCTATATGTTTCTTCTCGTGCTTTTTCTTCTTTTGTTTCTTATCTTCTTTTTGTGGCCTATTCTCAAACGTGCTTCTAACTAACTTGCATTAGGGTTAAATTAAAATATTACATGTATAAACTTCTTTTATACATGTAATATTTTTAATTCAAAATTTAGGTGTATTCTTTTTGATAATTCAGCAGATAAATTGTTCATTTGTTTAGGAGCAAGTTTTCCAGGTTAACAACATAGTTAACTTGTAGCAAAGTTATATAACAACATATTTAGCTAATAACAGAGAACAACAGCACAATTGTTCAGTACAGTTCAACAGTTGACATGTACAACAGCATCATTGTTCAGTACAGTTGACATGTACAACAGCACAATTGTTCAGTACACTTGAACAGTTGACATGTACAACAGCACAATTGTTCAGTACACTTGAACAGTTGACATGTACAACAGCACAATTGTTCAGTAAACTTGAACAGTTGACATGTACAACAGCACAATTGTTCAGTTCAGTTAGCCGTGACCGCCTCTACTTCACTATTTTATTCCATAACGTTCAATCAATTTTTTTCTTCATTTCCTTAATGCGTGGCTCCCTATATAAGCAGCATACTTCTGTCCATAGTTGAGGTGCATTTTTTAACTCGAATTTTATTTTCAACGTATTTGCAAAAAATCATTTTTTATGCCCCTGCTTTTTTTTATTTGGAAAAATAAATTCAATTAATGCCTAAACTATATGAAACTTTAGTTTGTATTGTTTCTGTTGCCGTTGTTTTAACGCTTGCTTAGCTATTCGCTTTTCGCTGTAGGAAATTGACCCTGAGAAAAGGGCTCAAAAACAGCAGCAGCAACAGCAACAAGAAGAGCACGAAGACCATGGCCCGGAGTCTCTGGATAACGGCGAAACTGTGAGTAGCTTGCTTTTATTTACGCTATTCTTAAGCTCATTTTCAAGTTCATTATTATTATGTTCATTTCATTATTATTAAAGTTCCATCAAAAGAAAACGGCACCAAACACCAAAGCGAAAACAATAACATGATTACTTGGATAAAAACTAGCCCACTAATAGCTTGCTTTTGTTTTCCATTCAGTGGCTGTTAGATTATAATTTTCAGTGGCGGTGCAGTGGATGTTGTTCTCAGTGGAGTGTTGTTCTCAGTGGAGTGTTGTTCTCAGTGGAGTGTTGTTCTCAGTGGAGTGTTGTTCTCAGTGGAGTGTTGTTCTCAGTGTAGTGTTGTTCTCAGTGGAGTGTAAGTGCAATTCAGATGCATCACCGCACTAGTGACCGTCAGACGTCGCCTTACGTTAACGTATTCTTAATATTAGTATCCATGACGCTCGAGACTCGTTGGGTTGAATGTTTCTCGAATGTCCACAAAACTCGATCGTGACGCGTTCTTCGGTGGAACATGATTTTAATGCGGATCATGCTTAATCGTCAATGTGAAGCTTCGATCGCGATGATTTTATGAAGTAAATATTATTGTAAACTTGACCTAATATTGTGGATTCCCTTGCCCAACTCGCTTCATGTAGAATTATTTTCTCGTAAATAAATTAGGCCTACTGTGAGTAAGTCTCATTAATTGAGGCGAGGCTTACTCACTTGTACACAGGCTTGATTGCAGATAAGTTTGCTATCATGTAACATGGTATGTTGTCCAGGTCATGCATGTGGTGATTGCCACTACCATCTACTGTTACATGCACTGCAACAACATAACCAGCTACAATGTAACCAACTGCATCATGCACAGCAGCATCATGCACAGCAGCATCATGCACAGCTGCATCATGCACAGCAGCATCATGCACAGCAGCATCATGCACAGCAGCAACATGCACAGCTGCATCATGCACAGCTGCATCATGCACAGCTGCATCATGCACAGCTGCATCATGCACAGCAGCAACATGCACAGCAGCAACATGCACAGCTGCATCATGCACAGCTGCATCATGCACAGCAGCAACATGCACGTGCGCATGTTTTTATGTTGTCCGCGTCAGGCCAAAGGACAAGACATGCGTTTTTTACCTGGCCTTGACGGTGTCGCGTCACTGATTAATTGCCGCGTGTCAACTAATTCCCTGCCTTGTTGGTACTTTACTGTACCTTGTCTGTACTTTACTGTACCTTGTTGGTACTTTACTGCACCTTGTTGGTGCAACTTACTTGGCACACCGTACACACCGTACTTGGCACACCGTACATTGCACGTGGTACATCGTACACTGTTGACATTATGCTGGACGTTCCTTACGCTAAGATTGCGTTTGAAAGTTTCATTAACTCGACTAAGAAATAAATTATATTCTCATTAGAGGAACGCCTTATTTCGCCGAGGAACGCCGCTATTCCTTGCGCTTTTTTTTGCTAACCGAAGAATTATTATCGTAATCGTGCATTTACCTCCACAATAAATGGATAATCGCTGCTGTATTCTGCTGTAAAAGGTAAATTATTAGACACTGTGGGTGAGAAGACGCTATATAGGGAGGTGGTGTGTTAATACGCCAGCGTATTAATAGAGGTGTGTTTACGCCACTGCTGTAGGGAGGTGGTGTGTTGATACGCCAGCGTATTAATAGAGGCGTGTTTACGCCACTGCTGTGGGGAGGTGGTGTGTTGATACGTCAGCGTATTAATAGAGGTGTGTTTACACTCCCTGCTGTTGGCTGCTGGTGCTGTTGCTGCGCGCTGGTGCTGCTGCTGCGCACTGGTGCTGCTGATGCTGCTGCTATTTATGCTAATTATTTTCGATTGCTTGGTGATGCTGCAGATTATTGTTCTTGCTATTATTAAGAGTGTTAAGGCTGCTTGGGACCTCCTATAATTACTGTAGTTGCTTAGTAAGATACAAGATCACCTCCACGGTTTTCATCGAGGATAAGAAGAGCGCACCTGTGCTCAGGTATACGCAGCTTCTAAGCGTATGGCAGCAAGCCAGGAGAACGCCCTCGTGCTCCTCTTCTTGTTGATATTATTGTTGATTTTGTTCCTCCTCTTCGTCAGTAGCCCCACACCTTCGTCAGTAGCCCGTGTGCCTCCGTCAGTCGTCATTGCACCTCCGTCAGTCGTCAGTCCAATATTTGACATTAGTTCTTCAGACAGGCAGACTCGTGGAACCAATGAAACCGGCCGTGCAGCTTGTATTATGAATTGTGTTTATTTGCTAGTTTTAATGTTGATGAAGAAACTCTGGGAACGAACTGTTTTAGTAATTTCTATATCAAATTGTTTTGAACGTGTTTCCCTGTATTTCGTTCGTGTTTGTTATCAAGAGAACGCCTGTTTGTTATCAATAATGTAGATCCGATCATAGCAGGGAAGACAAAATTCATGAAATACTCGTAAGCTTGTATCCGTTCACCGACCGGAGTTTGCTTGACGTATGAATGCTTGAATTGTTTGCCGATCATCTACGAATCAACTACTGACGAATATTTGCGACTATTGGCCATTGATTGGTTCTGATGTACCTTTCAGCAAATTTTCCGATTTGAAACTGGATGGTTTTAAAATTTTCGTGTTTTATTTTCAATTTCCTGACTTGCAAGTTAAATTCATGAAAGAAATTGTATCAATCGAGTTTGCCCCCAACGGAAACTACACGAAATTTTAACATTTATATTTTTATTTATATATCTAAAAATATTTATATCTCAGTATATAGATATTAAGTGTCAAAACGTAGACCACTATAAAGTTTCTGATACTATAAACATAATGTCGTTCCGGCGGAGCTACGGCACTGGATCCTATGGGACTGCAGGATCTCAGGTCTCTGGCTCCCTACTGGGGCCGGGGGGCTATAGCTCCCGAGGCTACAGCGGATATTCCCCCATGGGGAACTACGCCCCCACCTCCACTTACTCACCGAGCTACGCACAACCCATCATGAATTACGGCGCTACTTCATACTCTTCAAAGTCTCCTTACAACTCCGCGTACAATTCTAACTACAACTCCACCAACTACACACCGTCCACGAGCTTCCTAAACGCCACTGGGAGTAACACCTCCAACTCTAGCGCGCGTCTGGGACGTTGCACTTCCTTACAAAGATCCAAGTCCCTTCCTAGGGAACGAAGGGAGCGAGAACTCTCCGTACAACGCTACACTCCTGGCTACAACGCCGCGACCTACACCCCCTCCTACTCTTCAGGCTACACAAACTCCTATCTCGCCACCAGAGGACTTATCAAAAAGGCCAGGTCCAAGTCTTCAGGTACCGTTTCCTCAAGTCCCCACACTTCTACCACCAACACCGTCTCCTCCAGCGCCCCTTCCTCTGGCTACGGCTCCTCCAGCAGCGTGCGTATCAATGCATCGGTGACCATCATTGTATTTTATTTATTTATAACAATATTCAGTATTTTATTTATTTCTTTTTGGCCGTCGCTCCCGCACGTATCAGCCACAAAAGTTTCTTTGTCTGTAATTTAAGTACCTATATATCATCTTTAAAAGATGCACGATTGAGATTGAGAACCAATTTCCATCCATAAAGGCGTTTAAGTATGATTCAGGTATGTATACATCTCATATATACCTATACCCAAAAGAGCCCTTTTTAGCGCATTTTCTCATTTATGGAAAAAAGGCGATATTGTTATCGTCATGTCCGTCCGTCCGTGACTTCACGGACGGACGGACAAGAAAATGCGCTCACTTTCACTCACTGCAGTGAGTACTGATCTAATTTTCTCACCAGGCGATGTAACAAGTTGTTATTTACAGTGCAAGTGTTAAATTTTGTTGTCTCGGTCATGAGTGTCAAACTGGGCAATCCAGACGTACTTACTTGGCTTGGGATAAACGCTTGGATGTGTGGGAACGCGTTTTGTTAATTATGATAATAACTAACACCTCATCACTGGTTTCATGACGAATACTTCATCATTGTACCGTAACTGATACTTTATATCATTAAAACTGACGTCGTCGTGGCGACAATGCAGTAGCCCTGCCTCCCTGTATCAGTTATAGCTGCATCAATTCACTTTTATATCAGCCGCAGCTGCATTGCTGCAGCGTTAGGCTGAGAATATCTGCAGCTGCTGCCAGTTACAGCCCACATGGCCTCTAAACGTCTACCGCGCTGCTCATGTGTTTATATAGCTGCTTGTCTATTATTGCTGCTCTGGCTGCAGCTTCATCGGTCTTCATTAAACGGCTGCTTGTGTTGTGCTTGCCATTTGTGTGACAGTGTGTTTTATTAGAGCCACGCATGTCTGCTATTCTTGCGGCACCTAGACCCTAAAGAAAACAGCTGGTGAAGCTGCATAAGATCTAATAACAAAGCAAATAAAGTCTGCTAAATCGCTGTAAATAGAAGAATACATATTTTGCTTATATTCATTGCCTATATTCTGGAGTAAAGCTCTATTGCATCTAAACCAGCTGTCCTTGCTCAATTAATTAGGTTGCTAGTGCTGGTGTTGCTGGTTCCAAACAACAGTTAGTTTAACTATGTCACTGCTGGTGCGTGGTGATATATTGCGGGTCACGCAGTCCGTGCGTGGTGCAGGTGTAGGTGGTGAGCGATGCTTCAAGGTTGTACACTCTACAGTACATAATTGCCGACTTTTATTGCGTGTTGCGAGTCCATTAATTAAAGAAGCAGATGTTCCTGTATAGAATTGACTTCTCTAAACCCACACTGGACACTCCAAGTGTTGAGTATATGTTTGTCAAATGTAGTATAATGGTGCAATATCAATTAAAGTCCTCTGAAGCATCCAAACATCCAGTAAGGACCCGCATATCCTTCAGTGCGAAGGCCACTCTGGCTGCGGCAGGCTGTGTGACTACCTCCTCTTCCTGCACTGGATATAACGACGCTGCGGACTATAGCGTTATTACTTCTATTGTGTAGCTAATATATCAGTCGTGACTACC